CATTGCATGTATAAATAGACGACACTTACACACTAAACAATCATTATAGTGATGACAACCAAGTGCATGTTTTGTCTTCACTGTTTTTAGAAACAGCCTTCCCTAAATTGTCTAGGACTCAAATTCTTAAAGATTTCAGTTTGAGTTACATCCCAGTTTCTACCAAGAGAAAAATAAATATAAGATTTGTAGTAACAGGATGCATATGAGCCATTTGTCCCCAAATTTGGCTTATAATCCAGAAGCAATGCCAATCCACCTTTGTTCTGCCTACACCCCATTAAAGCCACAAGATGCGTAGGAAAGATGATTTTCTAATCCAATACAGTGTATCAGAGCATAAGGGTAGGGACCTTGAGGGCTACTCGTAAAAGATGGGTTTAGAACTCCTTGTGAACTCATCCCTTTTACTCCCCTGAGAGCAGTGTAAGAATTAGTCCTACCTGATCATGGAAAATCCCAAATCCCACGGAAAGTGACTCACTGAAAAGAGGCTACGAAGGTGATTAGAGCAGAATTTGTGATACCTACTCCACTCCTGAAACTGAGTCTGAACTGGAAATTCAGCCTCTGCTTCTGAATCAAGCTGGACTCCTATTAGTCATATGAGCCAGGAGACCTTCAAGTCAAGGGTCAATCTCTTTTCTCTCTTAAATTCTTTTTTCTACCTCTTCTACTCTTCTTTCCTTTAGACACAGATGAGAACCTAAAGAAGAGGCAGAAATGGAGCATTGTGGTCAAATTTCTGATTGCTGTCACTCTGTTGTTCAGTGGAGTCGCCATTATAGTGTTTGTCATTTTTGAAGTCCCATGCCCTGTAAGTTTGATGATGTTTTGGGTCCATTGAGTTGATCTATAAACATTCCCTTCTGTTTCAGTCAGATTGGCATAATGAGACTTTGGAGTTTAGACAGACCTGCCATTCACACTCACTAACTGAGTGGTTTTGAGAAAGTTGATTGACTTATCCAACCTTAGTTGCCTCATCTTTAAAATGGGACTAGTGATATTTCCTTTGTATGGTTTATTGAGGTTTTTGCTAAATATCAGTTCCTTTCCTCTGCTTACTTGTACATTCTCTAGGGAGGAAAAAGTCAATAGGACTGAATATTTTTTTTAGAAGAGGTGGTTTTCTTTAAATGCCCTGATATGAGGTTTGGAAGATAATCAAATGCATACCAGCCACCTGACATTAATACCAGTCATTTACTCCCTTCAGAGTCGATGCCTGAGAGCCAGAAAGCTATGCCAGTGCCGGTGGCTGTGGAGAAGGCCAAGGAAAGGAGGCCAGCAGCAACCTGAGACAGCTGAATCCCAGCCGGACTCTCAGCCTGAGAAGGAAAGTGGTTTCTGTATGGTTTGTGTCATTTGCTTGGAGAAAACTGGGCTGACATATAAGTGCTGGGAGACAGGAAGTTGCCTCAGTTATGAAGCAAATGTGGGTAATTCTTCTGTGTCAGAAAATAGGCAGGTATTTGTACTGCTATTTTCTTAATATCAACTCAGCCATAACACAATAAGGTATGTATCAAAAATACAGATTTCTTGGCCCTAGATATAATCAATCAGAATGTCTTTGTATCTGGGGCCAGGAATCATATTTTTAAGAATTTTAACACACTTCCTAAGTAAAAGTGAGTTTACTGTGAAATTAATGAAATTTAAGCTTCAGGACCTATGGGACCTGTACAAGGCCTTGTATCCAATTTTTTATTTTTAAAATTTGTATTCTTTTTCTTAAAAAAATGGTCCCCCCCAAACTGTAAGAGCTTCAGAATCCATGGCTATGTATCCATCCCTGCCCCTAGGTAACTCTTACATATACCAAAGTTTAGGAACCACCACACTGAACACAGTTTGAATACTTAGCAAAATAGCTTCCTTTTTCCCTGCCCTTGGGTTTCCTGACAGGATTATAAATTCATATTGCACTCTGGTGTCCAAAACAGACACTATACCACTGGTTCAGCACAGCTGCTCTAAATCCAGTTTCCCCATGAGGAGTGAACTCAGCCTTTGAATACTAGAAACTGATGAGTGCCTTCCCTACAATACCCCAGTGGGTATTGTAAATATTGTAGGGAAGGCATTCATCAGTTTCTAGTATTGAAAGTATTGGAGATGGGGTCTCCAATACTTTTTAAATTAAAGAAGGTGTCCAATTTTGTAGAATTACAGCATTGAGAATAGATCTCAAAGATTATCTAGCCTAGGATGGTATACATGCTGTTATTCTTTAATTCTGTCAGCGGCACATATTAATAATGAAGCATAGTACAACTAGAAGATAAATAAGTTCTGGAGATCTAATGCACAGCACAGTGATTAGTCAATGATACTGTATTAAATACTTCAAAACTGCTAAGAAACTAGATCTTAAATGTTCTCACAACAAAAAAGAAATGGTCATTATATTCCATGATAGAGGTGTTAGCTAAAGCTATGGCGGTAAGTATATTGCAATACATAAATGTATCAAATCAACACATTATATACCTTAAGCTTACACAATGTTATATGTCAATTATATCTCAATTTTAAAAAATCAAGCACTGCACTCT